TTTACATACTTTCGAACTGCAAGGTTGGCAGAAGCTGGGACAAATAACAGGAACTCCGTTATGCGGTGCTAGGGATTCGAACCACCGAACTGCCGACTTTTCTGATCGACAAGCTCAGTGTCTTAGCCACTGAGCCACCACATCCCTTATTCCTTCCAAATAGCAGAACATAAAAAAACCTTCATATAAGAGGTATAATTTATGAACACATTCAAATGAAAAATGGTCCTTCAGTTATTTTAGAGTCAAACCATTTTATTTTATAATTGTTTTTTTTATTATTTTATTTTATTATTATTTTATTTTATTACTGTTTTATTTTGTTATTTTCTTTTCTTTTATTATTTTACTACCCATCTTGTTTCAAGGCGACTTTTTAGGACAGTGTTTCTCAACCTTGGTGACTTTAAGTCCTATGGACTTCAACTCCTAGAATCCCCCAGCCAGCATAGCTGGCTGGGGAATTCTGGGAGTTGAAGTCCACAGGACTTAAAGTCACCAAGGTTGAGAAACACTGTTTTAGGAATAACCTTTTAGGGATCGGTAGGCCAAACTCAGAATTATAAATTGTGCCCAGAAGCAAACATTATTTCCAGTACATCAAGTCTGCACAATATACAGCGTATAGGCTACATGTGGCCCACCAAACAAACTTGTATTGGCATTTTTTAAAAATAAAATCTATAAATCCACTGTGCACACACACACCCTCAACCTTTAGTGCTGCTGCCCTAAAGAACAGGCTGCTGACTTTACTGATTGCTGCCTCAGAAGACACTTCCACACCTCACTGACCCTATCAGTTAATCACTGCACTGCTCGCCTAGTCAACAACTGATCAGCACACCAGCTGTTCCTTTGCAGCCTGCAAGTATTTTTAATGCATTAATGTGGCCCATTCCCCTCTGCAAGTTGTGCAGGCCTGCAGTCCATTATATAACACCCCTGACAAGATACCTAGATTTTAACTAGTTGTTGTTTCTCAATACTATTCACAGGCAGATTGATATAGAGTGTATCACAATAATTTAAAATATAATACTGGCCAGATTTTCTATGCCCCAAATCACAGCTGGCACACCCAATGGAACTTCAGCTCGGACACAAGCATTTCTTCTCCCTCTTGCTGCTTTCCTTTCAAAGAAACTGAGATATTAAAAAACACACCCAAACAGACCACATGATATTTTCAAACAAGTTCAAATTATTTGAGGATGGTTAGAGGGACTGTGTCTCCCCAATGATATCTGCTCCTCATATCACGTCTAGCAGAAGAGACTTATTATAAGTTCTATCTACTGGAGAATATCATCTGGTGGGAGTCAGGTGGAGGATCTTTTTTGCTACTGAAGCTGCCCTACAGAACATCATTCCCCCTAAGGCTAGTCCTGACCTTGGCAGGCTTCCAGAAGGTTGTGAATATTTTGCTTTGCTATCTGACCTGAGGAGAAAAGAGAAGAACCCATAAAATGGTTGTAAAGATTCCCCTCACACATGCGTGCTAGTCATTTCCAGTTCTAGGGGACGGCGCTCATCTCCATTTCAAAGCTAAAGAGCCAGCGCTGTCTGAAGACGTCTCCATGATCATGTGGCTGGCATAACTAAACACTGAATGCGCACGGAATGCTGTTACCTTCCCATCAAAGGTGGTTCCTATTTTTCTACTTACATTTTTTATGTGCTTTCAAAATGCCAGGTTGGCAGAAGCTGCGTCAAGTAACAGGAGCTCACTCCATTACGCGGCGCTAGGGATTCAAACCGCCGAACTGCCAATCTTTCTGATCTACAAACTCAGCGTCTTAGGCACTGAGCCACCGCGTCCCTTTTAAATGATTGTACTGTTCATTAATTAGTGTATTGCATGGGTTAAATTATTTTAATGTTTTGTATTGTTTGCATTCTGTGTTTTTTGGTATTGTGTATGTTTTAACTGTAAGGTATCTACAGTCACAAATATGAGATGGGCAGTTATATAAATTGAATGAATGAATAAACAAATAAATAAATGCTATCTGGTTAAGGACATTTAATCATTCATTATTTTCACAATCTCCATGACATCAGTTGAAAAAGACCAAGGCCAAATGCAACATATGAGACATAACCCTAACATTTCAGATAATCTTTCCCATAACACTTCATATAAATGTTAAGGAATATTTATGAGAAGAAACAGTGCCTTGTAAAATTTCACACCCCAGAGGCTAAATAACATTCCACAAGTACTGCATCCTTGGACTGCTCAAGAAAAAGAAAAAAAGAAAGTTAGGTCATCTTAAAGTTGTCTGTTGATGACTTACACCAATACATATCCATCTACTGTTGCCTCCTGGGTTACTTTATGAACTTCTCAATCTAGTCTGTAGCCCTGGAATTCTCAATTTACTCCTTTATCCAAGTACTAAATGTGTTCAGTTTTCTAATTCTGCCAAGATCACATTTTAGTTGCCACCTGCTACTATAGCATCCCAAACCACAAGTACGTTCAGCAAAGCCAACTGGAATACAATCTCTCTATTACATTCCAACATAGGACCGCTACTGGGCAACAAGGCAGTTTCCATTCTTAAATTGGCCCTGAATCCAAATAAAAAGTTATGCAGATTTCACAATTCTTTAAAGAATTATGCTTATTATAATCATAATATATAATTATAAGCCTTTTTATATTTTGAGTGAATGTAAGATGTCTGGATCAACTTTTAATAATACTTTCAAAATACAAACACTGGAAAGAGAGGTACTTTCCATTCCAACCTGTCTTTTGTCAGCAGCCACAGAGGTGTTGTCTTCATAGAGGGCCGAGGACCTTCGGAGGTGGAGCCCTGACTTTGGAACACTTTTCCTCATGAAACTTGGCTGGCCCAGATATTAGGCTCATTTGTTTTTTATTTGATTGCTTCTTATTTATTTAGCCAGGAAACCAAAGCAACATAATTGTACCTCCTCCTCCAATTTTTCTAATGACAACTGCCAAAGGTAGATAACTGGCCAAAATCATCTAGTGGTTTCTATGGCTGACAGCAGACTTGCATCTATTTTCTCCCAGGTACCAGTCCAGTATCTCACTCTTTGTATCACATCAGCTTTCTGGCAGCAGCTCCAGAATAAATCCTATTTGTCAAGATTTCTGCCTCTCTGATTTATATTGATGGTGTTTAATGCACTGGGATGAAGAATACTGTATAAAAGCAAATATATAAAAACTTAGGTTGATGACACCCTTCCAATAAATCCTGCTTCTGCCAGCCTCTGTTCCTTTCCTGGATCTGTCTGAATCATAGCCTCAGCAGCCGTACTTGCAGGCAGTCTCCTAGGCAAACCTAATGGAATAAAGGGATGGCAACCCTGTCAATCACAGGGCACACAGTGTAAGAGGTGGTGACTCACAGCGCCACTGAATGCTACTAGTTCAAGGCCCTACAGGTTTGTGGGCTGGAGTTTAATCTGAAGGACCCTGAACTGTGCCATATTCAGGTACTTGGCTGGGAATCCCATTTCCATCATATCTCCTTATCTAGGCTATATCCAGATTCCTATACTAACAGCTTGTTTCCCCAGGACCATTTCTGGACAGTACCAATTTAAAACAACTTCCTTTAGTTTAGATACACTGCATTCTGGGTCAGAACCCCACAATCTGAAGTTTTTACAGCAATTCCCTGCAATGGGTGCTTTCTTTAATTTCTATTCTAGACATTCCATCTCCATGTGCATTTGAGGTTAATACAATGTTTCTCCCATCATGCTCCCTCTTAGCAAATCCTTTCAGCTACAATGCAACCTGACACAAACACATTCTCACAACCACTTTACCACGTCTCCAGCCCTAGAAGCAGTAACTGAGATTGTTTTATGTTCCTCAAGGGACAAACGTTTAATTGATTCTCACAATCTGCATCCCCTGCTTTCAATTTACTGGTGTCATCAGAGAGCCAAGCAGGACAACTAGGTCAATACATAAATGCAGGCCTTACCCAAGATTTCCTTCATGTTTACACTGCATGTTGGATTCCATAATTGGCTCTACTTTGCCCATATGTCAGCAATCACAGAGTTGAAACAAACTGCTTAGTTCAAACACTCCTTTCACCCAACACATGCTACTTTGCTGTGTGGTGCACTCATTTCCTTGCAAGGAAAACACATATCAGTGCCAACTCCTACATTAGGATAAGCCTAATTATCCTCTTTTACTCTTTCACTAGCCTATAGTTCTCAACTCAGTCTGGCTGAAACAGGCTTATCTTCCTAAATCTAATCTTTTGCAAACCCATACTCTGATGACTGAGATCTTCCTTCACTTTCCTGGCCTGCATGATTGACAATGGAACTTGTATGGCTTCATCCTGAAAGATCAACAGGCAGGTCTTCTCACTCAACATGCTTGTCCTAAGCATGCTTAGAGGATGTTCGTTTCATCACACTTTTTCTCGTCTCTGAAGCATCAAACATGGATATAAAAAAATCCAAGTGCGTCATCAACAAGTGTGAATTCTCTTCTTCCTCCTATTCTGCACCATCTGCTCTATAATTCTCACCTATTTAATGGATATGGAAATTAATTACAGCAGAAAGTTCCACCCCTAATATTTGGATTAAACAGGTGCCAATATTCAGCAGTTTAGTCAGAGCAATATGCAGATGGTGCACGTGCTACCTGTGCTATACAGTTTTGCACAGACAAGTAAATAAATTCTGCAGCAATTCCCAATCACAAATTGGGCTCACAAAACATATTAAAACTCTTGACATGCTTAATTAAATCCAATTGATGTATTTATGGAACATTCTAAGCGCAAACTAATGAAGCATATTAATGTGATAACATAACCTGCTAAGGCAATTGTGGGATTCCCACACTATGTTGAGACGTAGAATACTTTATCCTGCTTAACATGTTGTGTGAACCATAATCAACCTGAAGGAGACATGTGGGCCATCTAGCCATAGGAGAGAGGACCAGCAGTGACCCCAGCCTTCACCTGAAATTTCCTTACCTTGTGAGCATCGACTGTCTCCCGGTCCGCAGAAGGACTGCTGGTGTCAACTGGCCCATTAGATGGCATTGTGGGGAAACTGGGGCAGAGGCAGCTGCTACAAATTTTTGTTTCTGGGGCTTAATTTATAGACGATTCGAAACTTTACTCCAAAGTGAAGAGGGATAATGGAAAAGCAGTCAAGGCAATCATCCAATGCCCCCCTCTGCTGATGGTACTGCTCTGGTTTTCCTGCCACCTGCAACAGGAAAAGAGAAAGGCGAAGGTGAGGCCCAGGCACACAATGCATGCACGGAAAGTCACTTTTTTGAGGGCCTCTCCCCACTTGCAGGCAATCATTAACAAGCCACAGCCTTGACTCAGTCAAGCTGGGCCCCCGGTTCTTCAGCCCATAGAGTCTCAGCTCAGCAATAGAAGATACACCCTCCTCTCTCAACTTCCCCCAGTCCAGACACCTTCCCCCTCCCTCTGTAATCTTCCCTTTCCCTGCACAGAAGCAGCACCTGTTGCTACAGGGGATGATACAAATCCAGAGCAAGCATTCTGGCTGCAGCCTCCTTGGGGTGAGAACTCTTACAACCTCTTTTGAGAAATGAAGCTAGCGCCAAAATGGTGGGGAAGAAAGGGAAGAGGATAAAATGGGGTGGAACTGCACTCCAACAGAACTTTCATCTTGTGCGCCAGGTGCAAGCAATGGAGCTTTCAGCAAGTCACTCTCCCCAGATCCTCGGCAAACAAGTACAAATTAAGTTAGCTTATCACCGCACACATAAGAGGCCCTCAGTTTATGTCTTGTGGTAATTTTGCTTTTTGCCAAGCAAATTAGGTAATAGTCTAGCACCAAAGAGGCAACAATCTTGGCACAAGCCCCCAAGATCCCATCACACAGAGGCACTGGGCACCCTCTGCTGCAAGTAGTCCACTTTTATTGGAATCTGCCTGAGTTTAGATGCCTCCTGCCCCCTAAGAAAGTTCCTTTGATTTGACTGCCTCTGTGTAAATGGAGTTTCTGTCCTAAAACCTTTACCGTATCGAAGACTCATCCTCCCAGGCAACATGAACCTACAACCCTTCCTCCAGCACTTCTGCAGCGAATTATACCAACCCCCAGTAATACAGAGATTAATATATTCATACACAGTGCTGGATGAAAATGAAATATGTCGTGTATTCCAACCTGCACTCATTGTTACTTAATACACTTAGATGCTATAAATCATCAAGGAAATTCCTCCTGTCTGAAATGCCATTGTGTGCAAACAGAACTGTAAGACTCAACATGTAATCAAAGGAAATGTTGAAGCCGCCCAGGTGGTCCTTGACCTCTGCAATATTTACCTTTGCCTTCCCAGACTGCTCTTTAGCACATTTTCACAATGTGTCTACTTGACAGTACTATTTATAGGATCTATGAACATGGGCATCTGTGGTCCATGCTTAGCAGCCAGTTGCCTCTCAGCCAAAGCTGATGATGAGCAGGGGGGGGAAGGAGGACTCCTTATTACAAGAAAGAGAACAACACTAGCCAGTTTTCCCAGCCAAAGGATTTGTCTCTTCCCTCTAGGAGTCTATTTCAGTGGCATCTGAAACACGCTCTCTCTAAAACACACACACAAATATGCCCACCTATGTGCACACACACTTGGTGTTTTCCAGGGTCCGTTGCGTATTTTGCCTCTTCCTCCACGTGCCTATTCCATGCAAAAGATCAGCATGGTTCCCTCCCAACAATTACTTGTTATTATCAATTTTTAAATTATTTGTTATCGAAATATAAGATACAAAGTAAACTAAAAAGTAATGGAAAACTAGGGGAAGGAAAAAGGGAAAATGTGGGGGGGGGGAAGTGGGGAGGAAAAAAAAAGATGTTAACTTCAAACTCTCTTTGGCACAGTAGAAGTTAATAACATTACAACCTCATTTTTTTAATTTTTATGCCTTAGAAGATACTAGCCACTTCTATAACAACAAACCTATCTAATCAACAAAAACAAAGTCAAAATGTCATTCCCCCCCTATGAAATTCTACAATTTCTCTAAATAAAAGTCTATATGCCCTCCATCCACTGAGCCATAGAAGGACCAACCAAAGCTGCATTACTGCTGCAGTAGGAAACACAGCAGCAGTTAAGTCCTTCTATGCTACAGGAAAGGTCCAAAGAGAATAATCATTCACTCATCTACTGTTTTGAAAGTGCAACCCCTTTTTACAAAGCAGGCATAAATGAAGAAGCAGCCCCTATCTGTTCTGGAGGACTTACTGTAGCGTTCCCCCTCCCTCATCCCAATTGCCATCACAGTGAAAGTGTACAGATCCCCCCCCCACCACCACTGGAAAAAGCAGCAGAGCTGCATACTGATCTCTACCCAACAAGAGGTGCTAAAAATAATCAGGCGCAAAGCAATCCCGTAAAGAAAGAGAAGGCTGGACCGAAGAGGTCAGGGTCCACCCAAAAACTCTTCCCAGAAAACCCTTCTGTGGGCCCTGCTGCCAACCACCCATTAGCAAGGAAGGAGATGCTTGCTTCCCCCTCTTATACCTGCCCTTCAAGTAGCATTGGAGCTGATAGCAAGCCTCAAAATCTTACCACGCTTCTTTCCCTTCTCTGCTCCTTGCTCTTCTGCAGTGCGGTATTCTTCCAAAACCTAACAACAGTTCTGTCATAAGCCCCCTCTTGCCTAGCCATGGTCTTCTTCCCACTCCTGCTCACTCACCAGAACCCACTCACCAGAGCCCGCATAAGAGGAGGGGCTGATGCCCAGACAGCTCAGCTTAGTGAGCTGGAGTAGGGAAGGGCTCCTTCACCGCACGACTTGCTCCCACACAGAAGACACCTTGCCAATCACTTCAAAGCAGGCTCTAAGGACATGGAAGGGGCATGCAGGAGGAGCATGCCCAGCTGTTCTAGCTGCAGAGGCTGCACAAGGCTAGTTATTTTTATCAGCCACATGGAAAGCAGAAAGTGCTTGACAGGCCCTTGCACCTGCTAGCTCCCCCCCCCCCAACTGCTCTCCGGTAGCCAACTAATGCAGAGAGGCTCAAAAGCAAGGCAACTGATCATTCAGGTTCCACTGGGAGAGCCTACCAAGAACTTTGCCCGTTGAATGCAGAACAAGTGACGTTTTTAGTACTTAAACAGAGTTTGTTTAATACACTGAAATGCCTTCTCATAGGTAAGCCAGCATACTCAATGGGGTACTGTGGTGAGACAGTGCAAAAGAATGCAGCTTTGGGATACATCCAGTGCCTGAGTGCCTGTGATTGCAGATTGAAACCATGTACCTGCTCCTTCCATTCAATGAATTAATAATGGCGTTTTCACATTCTACTATTGTTTGCGACTGAATAGCACCACGGAAGTCAGAAAGTGAGGAAAATGTTCAAGCAGAGGCACGTTTTCTTCTTCTACGATGATCATGCTACTATGCACTGATGTTTCAATGGGAATGTTTCTATGCAAGGCTACTTGCTTTTATAATGTAAAGAGGCCAGTTTTATTTCAGCTGGTTAAAAATCCGTTTGGCAGATGCAATCTATTTTATAAACTGAATTAGGCTTCCCACTGGAAAGTATGCATTAAATTGAAGCCATTCTTATTCTACTTCTAATAAGTGAAATATTTATTACAGCTGTTTGGTGAGAGTTACAGGGTTATTGTTACTGTTATTGTGCATCTACAGGTATGGACATGCTTTCAAGCACAGCACAATGTCAAAATGAGCATCTGCACTTGGTAGATTGCTTAGTCTAAAACAGCAAGGCAAAATGGATGCCAGGGTAGGCAACCCCCCCCCTCCTTGGATCCAGCACCCTTACTAGAAACATGAAAAACTAGGATTTTGAGGGCACTGTAGGAGAGATAATGGTGGCAAAAAACCCACATCTGATAGCAGCTTTTTTGGCTAACAAAAGCTATTAAAATGCACTAAATCATCAGATGCAGAGGTGCTGCTCACAAACATTTATGCCTCTCTAAGTTTAAAAAAGTGCTACCAGACTCTTTCTCGGTTCTTGGGGTAATGCTTGAAAACAAAACAGACACTAGATCCCCTTCTTAATTCACCCAATGGCTGTGCAAAGGAGCAAAAAATAGTGGCACCAGCAATCCATTGCAAGAAACAAATTAAAAACCTTGTCTGATGCAACTTTGGCATTGAAGCAAACATGATTTCAATCCTGCTGAGCTGACAAGTAAGACAGGTTCAAACAGGGGCCAACCCTTATCACTTCCCTTCAGCGCTGAAAATTTGGAAGCAACTAAAGACCTAAAGATTCCTTTTAGCTATGGTGTCATACTTCGTCTTTAACTCCATTCTGTTTAAAGCCATCACACCAAGTGCGTAACACGTTTTATGGCAGTGTAGACTATATTGTTAATTGTATAAAGGGTGGAGAAGTACTCCTTCTTTTGACCCGTCATAAATCTATTGCCACTTCATCAAGACTTGAAAAAGAAGCACTCCACCCAAGGGACCTCTCCCAAATTATCTAGTGCAGCCACATATCTTCAACCAGTCTTGATTTTACGGTCTTCAGATGTGTATCCGGTAACAAATAGCTTTTCAAGCCACAAATGGACCCAGAATATGCACAGCTGTGCTAATCCATCTCCACAAGCAGAAAACTGCAAAAGGGTACTCTGGCAATACTGAGCACCAGGAACACCAAATTGGCCTTTTAAAAAAAAAATCAATTTCTGATGGGATTACATATACAAATGTTCAGGTTGTGGTTGGCATTTAATTCCCTCAAACTTTTCTATTGGCCATGGTTTAACAAACAGGGCAGATTTAAAAATATTTGCGGGACAAAAATGTTATTGTTCAACGTTCATTGATACAACTTGTAAGCTCCCTATGAAAGCATTTTGTTTAAACATTTTGAAATCTTGGAACTTGTTCCATATGCTGTTCTTACTTTTCTTTTTATCATTTGAGCTTGTCTTAAAACATTATCATTTTGATCTAGAAAGAGTGCAGAGAAGAGCAAGAAAGATGATTAGGGGACTGGAGACTAAAACATATGAAGAATGGTTGCAGGAACTGGGCATGTCTAGTTTAATGAAAAGAAGAATTAGGGGAGACATGATAGCAGTGTTCCAATAACTCAGGGGCTGCCACAAAAAAGAGGGAGTCAAACTATTCTCCAAGGCATCTGAGGGTAGAACAAGAAGCAATGGGTGGAAGCTAGTCAAGGAGAGAAGCAACTTAGAACTGAGGAGAAATTTCCTGAGTTAGAACAATTAATCAGTGGAACAGCTTGCCTCCAGAGGTTGTGAATACCCCAACACTGGAAGTCTGTTCCACAGAAGATGTTGGATAGCCATTTGTCTGGAACGGTATAGGGTTTCCTGCCTCGGCAGGGGGTTGGACTAGAAGACCTCCAAGGTCCCTTCCAACTCTCCTATGTATTATTGTATTGTATTGATCTGTTTCTTGAGCTTCCTTTCCAGGAAACAGTCAGGATATGAAAATTTTATCCTAATAGATGGGGAGATATGCAGACAAATATGGAAGAAATGAAATTACAGTTTAAAAACTAAGACATGCCAGAAGTCCAGGGCTGCATCTTCTATAGCCACCCACTCTTGTAGCCTTGTTTCTTTCACCATCTCTACCACCTTTCAAATTTTAGAATAAGCAAGGGAATTTAAATCACATGAAATGGTACATATGCTACAACCACCACATTTTACTGCAGGATACGTGTCAAAACACACACTATCCAGTATATGCCAAATCCGAATCACGTGTGCTCCACAGGTCATTTTCCTTGTTAGGCTTTTAAAAGTCACAAATGGGGTAGATTTATCCAGGCCTAGCTCAATGGTTCTGCCCACACTGGCAAAGAACCATTTCCACACAGGCCATTTGGGGAAAAGAGCCTTTTGTTTTGTTTTTCGAATTTAGAAACCGCCCATCTCCCTCACAGTGGGATGACTCCACAGGTTGCAGAAGTACATTGGGCTGTAAAGGATGTTTATGCACTCCTTAATTAGCCCCAACAGGATTTGAGCATGCTGGATCCCCTGGGAACCTGAGCTGAATGTTATTTTTTTAAAAGGGGGAAAAATGAGAGTAGCAGCAGCATGAAGCCAGATCCTTGAGCGGAGAGGTATGAGGTACCAAAAGGATTGCCATGTTAGGCACCCATGTGTTTTCTCGGGCAGCTTTTTAACTTACCTTGTAAAGAAACAGCAAAGGTAGTGAGAATTTAAAAAAAAAAATGCTGCAAACAGAAGCTGCAGCTTGATTCACCAAATTGCCTCTGGACCACACAAGGGGTCAGAAATGTGTTAAATCTCCTCAATAAAGTAACACCAAAGAAAGAGAAAGGGGTAAGGAGGAAAATCAGACTGCTGAAGCCCACCACCCCTAGAAAGAGTCTGAACCATAAGGAAAAGCCATATAATTCCCTTCTTGTTCAGGGTTTCAAAGGGAGGGAAAAGGGTTTTTTCCTCCCAGTCCTCCAGAAACTGTCACTTATCACACACTATATATATAAAAAAACTTCTATCCTTGAAGATGACAGGATGCAAAAAATGTGAACCAGAGAGGACTATGCAAGCAGCAGCAAAACTTTACAAAAAAGCAGGGAAGTAAAAAGGTCTCGTGAATGAAAGCAAATATGTGTGTCCCAGGATAATGTTGCAGGATGCCCTAGAATGATTAGAGAGAAGTATCCTGAGGATGGGCTGCAGCACGAGTCCAAAAGCTCGGAAGACTAAACCTGTGGTCCCGGTGACCGACCCAGATGGGATCCTGCTAAAAAGGTTTCATTTCCCTTCTCCATTCAATTCCACCTCCTGCCAATTTCTCCTGTTGGAGGGTACAGCTACATCATGGCATGTGGTCCTTTTTATATGCAAAGGAAACGAGTGGGCATCAACTTTGTATTTCTGCAATTGAAGTGATCAATTAGATATAAGATGCTCTTGAAAAGGACTTCACTTTGAGAACCCAGAATCAACTGCCAATTGTTTTCAAATTCAGAAGTCAATTTATTTTCCGATGTAAAACTCTGTAGGATAAGTATGTCTCTCAGAGGAAGCCAGGAACCATGGCTTCTTCAGCTCCACTCAAAAGCAAAACAGCACAAGGACAAAACCATGGGGAGCAAGGGCCCTGTGGACCATTGCAAGAAACAAGCGTAGCTGCTTTATGGAAGGCAAGATGTAGACTTCACATGGCAAAATAACCAATTTGTGGAACTTCTTTGCATAGAACGTGAAGGTTGCTAGTGGTAGGCAAGTGCTAGACAAAAGTAAAAGAGTAGGAGCAGAAGCAACTGACTTCACATAATTCATCCATAAGATGTACTCCATGTACACTTTTAGTTGTATAGTTGAACAATTAAGAAGCCCATCCCAGTTCATCCTCTTTTCATCCCAGCATAGACTGAGGATCACAAAATCATCTGGAGAAAGAGCAGCGATAATTCTGAGGATTGAGAACAAGCGTAGATTGACTTGTCCTGCAAGAGAGTGACTCACAACTCAACAAAAGAAAGCCCACTCAAATGTCTGGCTTGCCAGTGAAGAGTAGGAAAACTGTCTGCTGATAGACAAAAGGCAGCCATTCATCCTGACGCAGAGAACAGGTAAAACAAAGCGGAAGTGACTCTTCTACAGCATATCATGTGCTGTGAAAAGCCACTGCCTGTATTTTAAAAGATGACCCATTATTGCAGCTCAGTCTTTCTTTCCCCTCCTGCTTTCATGAGTCAGAGATGAATATCTCCCACTGAGAAGCAGAATATACAGAGCTCCCGTACCACAGGGCTGAAGAGCCAGCCGCAGCAATTCAGAGGAAGCACAGGAGTAACATACCCTCATCTACAGGCAGTGATGAAGAAAATTCTGTCAGTGGAGCCTCCCCCCTCCCCTCCGCTCAATTCTCCCATGGGCAGTCTTGTCAAGCTAAGGGGCATCGTTACCTTCAACTTGCTGAGTAGGAGACCTGCCCAAGGCAAGACCAATATGAAAGGGAGGTAGTGTCACACAAGCCTCTGGGATGAGAGACACACAACCATCTTGTTATTGCTCCTGATGTGTACGTGTAATAAATTTACAGCTACAACCAATCAAAAATGTTGACTCCATCCTGTGAAACAAATTTGATTAACTGTAATGATCTGCGATCCACTACTCAGACAAACATCCCAAAGGCTGTATATCCCCTTCGGGTACAAAAAAACCCTACCTTTGCAATGTGGTTCCCTCTCACCAAATAAGACAATGCCCCTCCAAATTAGTAGAATACCCCACCTCCAATAAAAAGGCAGGCACAGTGTTCTGGAGATGTAGCAATGTATTGGGTGGGTGGCAGAAAAAAGAGCCCGGCAGAGACAAGTTGAGCATATTGCAGCAAGCTACTTTTTCTCAAAATAATAAAACGTGTATTGTGATAACACACAAGATCTGTCCTGTTACATGTTCATTCTCAATATTGCAAAACAAGTACAAAAGGAATGGGGCTTGTGTTGTTGTGTCGTAACACACATTTCATTTTTTGCCTCCATGACTTGGTTGGCAGCAAGTCAAGTTACTCCTCCAGCATGAAACACACCACATTTTCAGGAAATCTGGGAAAGGTGAAGACAAGACACATACACGTGCATACTTTTTCATACCCAATTTGCCCCTAGAAGCATCTGCTCTCAATTACTGAAGAATAACAATGGCAATTGTAACTATAAAATTTCTGTGGAAAACTTAAGGCACAGGGCTCTTATCGTTATATATTTTTAATGGGTTTTTAAAAATCATTGGCGTTGTAAGTCACTCAGAATTGCTTAAGATGAGCAGTCAAATACATACATACATAATACATACATACATACATACATACATACATACATACATACATACATACATACATACATACCTTTCCAAACCTTGTAGGAAAATGCTTGAGAATGTATGTCTCTCTTTGTCCCCCTTCATTTATTTTCATCGTATTTGTGTTTCATGTAGGAAAAAGGAGTTTTCCTACTGCAGCTTCCAAAAAGGAACATCCGGCACTCCAAATAACAATGTGGGTCATGGCATTTCTGAAGCAAAGTTTTCTAACGGTATAGTCAAAGATTCCAATGTATACACCGAGCAAATTTTATATAAACTCATTTGATTAATGACATTTGCACATCTTCTATTTACAGTTGTTCCTGCATTGTTCATGCAAAAGTGTATGCATGCATGTATTAGAGTATCCAGCCAGACCAAAAACCTGAGGTTTGAATTGATTAATTCCAAAATCAAATCAGGTACTTCATCAAACATAGATTTAAAGTATAGACAGCATAATTTTGTTCTGTGCCCACTTCCGTGATGTAATGTTCCAGTCTCCATTTTAAATAATGTGCTGGATAAACATTTATTAGTTTGTTATTCTCATAAGAAAGTACTAACTATTACGATCAAGAAATTATATTAGAATTGCAGGATAAACAATTTAAACGGAAATTAAATGACTAAGAAACTAGTTAGTAAGTCATACCCAGATGTTAAATTATCTTGTTAAGATCTTGCCCTAAAATTGGTGCAAATCAAGTTTCAGTTGGAGTACTGTATGTTCATTTCCCTTCCAGCAATGTGACCATAATATTAATCTTAATCATCAGACTGAATTTGTTGCAAGCAGATGTTTACATCAGATTTTTAGATTTTGTTAAAAATGATGCCAAACTGTACTCTGTCCTCAGCACAATTTTTTTTTATTTGGAAGTAAAGAAAAAATAAAACCTATCCAAAAGAATAAACGGCCTCTCCATGACATCATGAAATGTGGAAATGTAAAGGTCTCACTAGGACTGACATCCTAACTACAAACATCCTTTGATCCCTGAGTCAATTTCCTTGCTCTGTACTACTCCAACTCCAGTTCCAATAGACGAGGACATCCGTAGTTCAGGGTTGAGTTATGCACTTCTTGGTGCTCTCTGAACTTGTTCGTTTGTTTGCAAACATATCATTACCCATCTAGGGATCATCATCTCTTTTGCAACTTCAGCCCAGAATGCCTCCAGTCCTTTTCTCAAGGCCGACTGCTCTGAATGGGAAGAAGTCAGAGACAGAGCAGGACAAACAACTTCCTTGTCACAAGTGGAAAGGTCAGGAGATCTGTGCACTGGTCATAGCCTGTCTACCCACTTCCTACTTGGGGCTGAGAAACACTCTGTAAAGATTTGTGAAAATATTCTAACCTCCACCAACACACACACACACACACACACACACACACACACACACACACACACATTTCAGATGAGATCTATTTTGAGTGAACTTCACAGTAAAAATAACCAAGCAGGCAATGCCTGGGCTAAAGGCACAGATTGTTCACGACACTGGAGAATTCTGCATGTTCTCCCATGAAAAGACTGACATCCCTGGGGGCTTCAATCATTGCAAGCCACTGGAGGAAGAGAGAATAGTAGCTTTCGCCCTCCAAGTTTGCAAGGCAGAACTGAAACGTAGCAGTTTGCCAAGTTTCTAAATGCAAACATTCCTTATGTATATCTCTCCCCCCCCCCC